GCTGATGAAAACTCTTTACACTTTTGCTCCAATCAAGTCTGCATTTTCAGACACTATTTTCTGGAGCTTGACTGTGGTGCCTGTTAGGTGAGGTAGAAGATTATCCAAAGCTGAGTAGAGCTTTGGAAATCTGGCCCAATTCACTTAAAGCAACATTGTTATTATGGTGTGAAGACTCTCTTGATATTTGTTGTTTGTTATTTGTTCAGTGCCTGTGCACAAGAGAGAAAGAGGAGGGAGAGGAGGAGTACAAGACTTTAACAACTGTACATAGTAAATGAATATATATGATATTGTGAGATATTTTAACAGGATATCTGCAGTTCTTGAATTTGAATGTTCATAAAACCAGGCTTTAAATGTTTTATAAAGTAGCCTAAATTTAATTTATAAAGGTCCTAAATAATGTTAGTTATAAATGTTTTATAGCCAGTTTCTCCTACTTACAGTAAAATAACTTAACTAAGCATTATAACAGATTAATCCATCTGTCTATTTTATGTTGTTTATTCGGGTTTAGGCTGCATTTATTATATCATTGTAATTATTGTTATATACTGCTGGGAAGTACAGAACAAATGTGAGAAATATTTGTAGGACATACGGTCTTTACCGTTTTTCTATTACACTTTAATTCTTTGACTGGTATAGTGTAAAAAAATATTAAATCAGACTCTGTAGTATTTAAAAAGCTTTAAACAGTCTTATAATTTAACTTTGTGAACCCTGCAGAAACCCTGTTTAAAGGTGCCAAATGGTTGTAATTCAGCAAAAAAGCCAATTATCATCTTCAAACTGGTCAGAGCAGTTTTTATTTGACACACTGCGGCATTGATGGAAGAAATATGTAGTTTCTTTATATTGATGATAGTTTTTGTTAGAACAACCTAGTTTCATGTCTTTTAAATGACATGTACATAAGCAGCCAAGTTTTTTTTTGTGCATTATGGAACAATGTTGCCATGCAGATTGAACACAAGCACAAGAATGTTAAAGGGTTTTTGGAACAAATCCTGTATATTGCAGCATTTGCAATAAAAACATATTATGTTTAGGTAATGTATGTCACTCTCTGGTAAATTAAATACACTACACAAAAAAGCTAAGCTGTTATTCTAAGTCTAATTACATTCTTCAGAAACGTTGTTAGTGCCATTATTGTGTTCACACATTCTACACACTGACTGAAAATTAAGAGAAACTTTTTAATGTCGGCATCACCGGATTTCTCAAACAAATCAACCAACGACAACATTCATGGAGTCACAAATAAGTCTCATCACATTACTTTGGCTGTCTAACACACATTTCCATGAGGAAAACACAAACAAGCTATTTTTGTGAATTCCTAAAGCCTACGTTTTAAATAATTTTTAAGATAATCAACATAAATTTTAACGATAGACAAAAGAATATTCTGTTTTTTCTACAATAATGTTTGTTAGCTTTCATACAGCTTCCAAAACCCCCAGGCCAATCTGCTAATGTAACCGTCCTTTGAACACGTGGTCTTTGGTGTACGTACAAAATATTCCGAATAATATAGGCTACAGAAATGATTCTTAAATGAACACATCTAAAGTATGACATCAATTAACTGCCCTAACTTCTTCATCACATACGTTTTCATGGTTGTTGTGGTAACTGCACTGTGACTTGAGGCGAAACCTACAGTAATCTTAAATGTTGCCTAAGGAAACAAACCAAAAAAACACTTTTGGGTGGGACAGGACAGCAAGCAAATGCCTGCCACACTAAATGTGAATGAGCACAGAACCACACACTGCATCTGATGTGAATGGTTGCATTTCTCTGTGTACTAAACCTCAGCGCATGTTGCGAAGTCATGAGTTGGTCATGTGGCCAGCTTTAACTATTTGAACCAAGTCTCCTCAACCCCAGACTGCTTCAGTCTGGTGCATGGAGCAGACTGTTTTTGAGAACCAAAAGATTATCGACAGTTATAAAAAATAAAGCTTGTTCATCTTTAAATTTATCTGTAGAGGTTTGGTCCCATGTGGAATATAGCAGTAGGTTTCTTTTTATCCTTCAATTAACATCTCTCATACAAAGACACTGGTGATATTCTTAAGGAATACACTATCAGAAATACAAACAATAGCAAAGAACTAAAGTTTACCCTCAAAACAATCATCAAAAAGCTTGTATAAAACTAGCCTAAAAGATTTGGTAGTGCCTTGCATGCAATGTCACTTAAATGAACCATGCTCTTTATACAAGATGCAGCAAGTTATATATCATTCATTCATTTCTCTGTCTTATCTGACAAATATTGGAATTGATATGGCTACGTGATGAATAAATAATTTTCCCTCATCAAAAAAAGCTCTATATTAAATAGTATATTCTCTTCTTTATTATTTTTGCTACTGAAATAGTGGTAAACCTGAAAGTCACCTGTAGGTGAATATTAAATAATTGAAGAAACTATAAGAAACTATTTTCTGATACTTTGGTCATTCTATCGCAGTGATTAAGGTTACAAGATTTTTGCCCCATTAGTAAGAATTGTGAAATTTTCCCTCCATTTTTCATTGATCCAAAAGTATTTCTTTTAAGCTTAGTTAAAATCTAGTTTGTGTTACCTAAGTGGAGATTTAAGCATTACTAAATTAGAACAGGTTTTAGGACACAAACTACTTCTGTTAAATATTATATATAGGCCTACACCTGCTACAACTGCAGCTAATAAAACTAACTGAAAAAGCTAACATTAGCTTGCTAATGTATGACCTGTTTAGACTGAAGAGTGAAAGAGATAATAGGGAATTTGATTAGTTGTCAAACTGTGTAAAAATGTAAACTCAGTACAATATCATTCAAAAAACAAGATGTTATATTGGTAATGTTGCACTAAGTGGCCAAATAAGTATTTCCCACTCATGGTAAACTGCTTGAATATGTGTAACGAAGTCCTAGCTAACTTACTTACTTACTTTTGGAAGTTGTACAGCATAATGACTGTACTAGCTAAAATATACTTTGATGGAAAAACAGTTTGGGAACCTTGATCCATTGTCTTGAAGATCAATATCAGTCACATGCCTGAAGTTCAGACACCAGCAGCTGAAAACAGCTAGCCTGGCTCTGTCCAACGATAGGCTAACAATTTCCATCAACAAGCACCTCTAAATGCAAATTTCAATACATCTTTATTTCTTTAATCTGTACAAAAAAGTTCTGTAAAAATGACAATTTGTGGTTTTCCTGCCCAGGAGCAGTGACTTCCTGAACACTTGTCATCACCATGAAGTTGAAAACTAACTTGACATACAAACTAATGGATTTTACAAATATTCCAGTGCAGCATTGGCCCCATTTTGTGATCCACATGTACTGTATTACCATTACTTTTGAGACACAGAACTAAGCAGCTGATTTTCTGAAAATTAAATACTCTGCAATTTTTTGACAAATGCAAAAAATGTCATTGCTCAATTTATACTGTACATGGGCCAAACTTACTTTTATTTTTTCAAACTAAATAATGTGTCATTGTTTCTCTTGTGTTGTAAAAGAGCAAGGATATATGTCAGGAAATAGAGTAGCAACTTGAGAAGTGGATTAAAAAAAAAAGTATTTTTATCATGCTGGGGACTAAATATTTTTGGTCTAGATGGTTTGAGGATTCTGGAACAAGACGACCTTGAGAACAGCAATACACGTTTAAAGACATTTTTTGTTTTTCAAAGATTGGCAGGTGTTTATTTATTTAATTTTAAAAATCAAGAAAATCTGACTCAAATTTAGCCATTAGAATGGATATAGACTTGTATTGTGGTTGGAAGTACTTTCAAATGTCTTACAATCTCAGAACCTAATGTAGGCTGATACTGCTTTCTAAAATCCTGTATTGTAATGACAATGTTCTGTCCATGAATTTATGGCTTATTGTTGGAATGTTGAACATTATTCCAAAAACGTGAAGAGGACAGTCACACTGTGTACAGAAAAAAATGGCACACAAGTACTTAATATACATATTTAGAGAACAGTATTGTAAACAAATACCATCTTCCAGAGCAGATTGTCTAACACCTCATCAGGGGAGAAGGCCTAAAAACAGGAGCTGCACCTCTCATGAGGCATTGAATCTGATTACAAAAAACACTGATCTAACTCCTTCCCTGAGATTAGGCAGTGATTTCAGTGTATAGAATCAGGATACTGTTGTAAAAGGCGATTAATCAATCAATACTGTATTAAATAGAACTGGAAGATTTAACTATTTGTGTTTCCGCAGCCGCATCCCCTGCGGACTCCAATTAAAATAGACATTTGTTTTGTTTGAGCTGTTTATCCACAGCCAGCAGCCATGCAAAAGAGAATAATGGAATCAACTGAGCAGCATAAAAGTCCTAACTGTAGTACTGAACACAACAATATACCCAATGAGTAAAATTACTGTGTGATGTATGTGTTTGTAGAATGAGGGCTTCATAAATTGCTATAACACTTATCATGCACTGTGCATCACAACTGAAGTGAGCTGATGGATCTGGATCACAGTCTCTGGAGTCACCACTTAAACCATCCAACACTCATTGTATGTCTACGCTGGGCAGTGCGTCAGGCTGAGTTTGGTCACACCTTCCTTATACAGCTTGTAGAGAAGCTTGAACTCGCTGGGAAGCTGGTGGGCTTCCTGCCACTTGGTGGTGAATTTGGTCCCTTTCTTGTCATAGTAGTGATAAGGCAGCTCCTTGCCTGTGTTGGGGTCCCAACCGAAGGGCCAGAATCCATAGAGATGGACCTCATCACACATAGCGGTGGCCAGTGTGTACATGAGGATTCCAGTGCTGAGACGTTTGGGAGAGAGGCTTTTAGTCTTCCAGTATCTGTGAGAGAAATGACAAATTAGTTGTTCAAAAGCAGAAATTAATTCCAAATGCCTTTGATTGTGCAGAATACAGTGCCTAACCTTTTATTGCAGTTTTAGTGTTGTCAGTTTCTTCAGATATAGAGATATTGAGATCATGAGTCTATCCCAAAGCCCCCTGCTTAATTATAGAGAGCTGAAGAAAACCTCATTCAAAATCTCATTGACATTAGTAACTAAACCAGTAACTAAAATTCCAGCCTTGGAACAGAACCTATTTCATGTGGTACATGTGTATAAATAAGGGAGGTAGCTAAAAAAAATCATTCTTTATTCAATGTTTATATTTTTTAGTGGCTTTTCATTAAGCCCTAGACATTCATATGCTAAACGTCACTGCCTGAGATAGACGGACCAAAACGTGTCTCTGGCACTGAGTATTAAAATGTTTTAAGTATAACATATGTATAAATGTATATTTAATTGGTTCAGTTGTGTATAATTGATCAGATCAAGACTCTTACTTGTTAATATTATGCATGATATTTCCTGGCCAGGCCAGGTCCACCTTCAGTTGGCCCTTGTGCTCCACAAAGAAGTCCACCAGGGTCCTGGTTACTGTGGCTGAGGTATGGAGGAAGAAGGCAGGGATCCACAGGATGGCTCCCTCCAGCTTCTTCAGGCTGAGGAAGAAATTATTCCTGTCTTGAATGGTCAGCAGGTTATTGTAGTACCTCTCCAGGATGCTGGGGTTGAAGGTGGTCAGGTTGGTCTTCCTTCCCACATCCTTGAAGTAGACCTCTGTGGGGGCAAAGTTGCAGCGGAAGACAAAGTCAGCCTGGTCGATTTCTGGGCCGCAGTGGCTACCTGTCAGGATGCCGCTGTTCCCTACCACAGCACACATACTGTAGTGCTTGTTAAGGATAGGAGAGGTGTCTGGGAGCAGGGATTTGAAGCTGTTGCTGATGGAGAAGACATATTTGTGGCTGGAGTAGTCGAAGTGCATCAGCTGGCCAACTTGCACGCTGTTCTTTGTGAGGGAGAAGTTCTTGGGAATGTCGATAAAGCTGAAGATATCTTTCCTATAAAAAGAAAAATGTTTTGCACGATTACAGGCAGCTACAGGAGGTGTCCTGTATACCTTTATATTTATGAGCCCATTTTAAGGTCTTATTTCTGTAGGTAAGTCACCATCTAGCTAATACCATCTTATGCATCCCTTTTTGTTTATAAAAATGTGATAAATTTGTGAAAATAATGTTAGTGTCCTAGAGCCCAAGGAGATGTGGGAGATGCCAGCGCTGAAGCTTTGAAACATACAGTAGAAACCCAAATTCCTTACAGTAACAGTATCCATGAGGGAACAGCTTTTTCTTAAACTACATGGCCATTTTGCTCCTTTACAAAGTCAAGTGCAGATGAAAATTAAAATCTCTTACCTCTGTTGATAAAAAGCAGTCTTGTTGAACTTCCATTTATACGGCTTTCCTTGGAGCTCCTCATTTAGGGCGTTGGTTAAAGGGATGAAGGAGGGGTTCAGAAAATTCATGGCATACTGAGACCTGAAAACAGTGACAGGAAAAAAATATGCTGAGTCATCAGCATGATTACAGTGTTTGAGTAGAAGTACTTGGTTTCTTACCACACTAATTATAAGATGATCATATATTTTGTATGTATAAAAATTTGGATTTTCAAACTCTCAAGTAGCTCTCAGATAAATGTAGTGAGGAAAAAAAGTATAATAGTTCTCTTTTAAATGTAGTGGAGAAGAAGTATAAATAGTTGTGCATTAAGCATGTGTGCCTACACACAATAAGTGCTCTCTTATGTATGTAAAACTAGCAGCGCAGTGTAGTAAAGTCATACATTCAACTTAAATAAAAGTACAAGTGTAGTAGCATTACAATTTACTTAAAGTGCCAGTAACTTACTCATTATGCAGAAGGACCCATTTCAGAATAATACATTATAATTATTGATGCATTAATGTGTCCAAGAGTTTAAAGTTGCAGCAAAGGTGAAGCTAATTTCATCTTAGTCTAGAAGAAGGGGTATTTGTTGGTTTGATTTTGTATTAATAATCTGATTTATCAATCTAACTGGTAATTTTAATTGCCAATCAACTTCACTGAACAAGTATAAATTAGTATAATGTACATGGAGGTACTGCTAGTACCTTATAATACAGTCCATTTTAAAAATACTTTCCCTTGAGCCACAAAACCTGATATTGATGTACATGTCACAATATCTCTATATACGTTAGTCTTCATAAAATGGTACTTTATTTGAACGTATACAGCTCATCACACCATCAACATCAGCACCATGGAAAGCTCAGTGTTTGATTGACAGGAAGCACAAGTGATGCGTTGCGCTGGTTTTTCACATCCAGGTTGAATCAGTAGGCCTGTCTCCTGTTGATATTTACACCAACCATGGTCTGCATCACATCGACTATACCTACAGTCTGTGCCGAAAATGATCACTCACCGAAATCCTGCGTGAAACATAATCCTAGGACCTCCCATATCATATTTAGAGGAAGTGAAGAAGCTGTCTTTCCTCAGAGAGACATAGCTGATGAGCGACAGTATGAGCACAGCGACACACAGAATCACCAAACCCAGAGCCTTGGCGATGCGGGCCATCTTATGCGCGTTTTCATTCCCCGTATGAAGCTGCAGCAAGGCCTATATTGTCATCGCCGGGACTGCACACTGCTGCTGCCTGTCTACACGATACAGACAAACTGGCGCTCATCGGCTCATATAATGGTATAAAATGGACGGCTAGTAGTAGTCGGCAGCATAGTGAAGATGCCAAGGCGTGGTCAGATCTCATTCCTCTGCCTGAACAGCCGCGACTCCCCTACTGGCTGCCAGTTTAATCAAGGAAATGGAGCAGAACTGCGTGCCAACACAAACCCCATCCACCAGCACTAGCATCATCACCACCACCATTTCCACCCCTTCACACAGTGAACCAGGCTTCTCTGCAGCGTTCAGCAGACATAAAAGCTTGTCTGATAACGAAGTGAATCTACTAGAGAAGAGGCTTAAAATGAGAAAGGATCAGAGGAACAGACAGTCAAATCTCTTGTTTCTGAAATAACTATGGGCAATGTCCCAGTTTACCACAATGGACAACTGAAAGAAGCAAGCGAACTGAAAAAATAAACACAAACAAAGAACATATATACGGATTAAGTAGATAAAAAGAATTATTATTTGGAAGCATTATTTCTAATCCTTCCAAAATATTCAACATCATATCCAAAATCAACACAGTATGTTGCATTCACAAAAGATAAACATTTTACATTTTGTTTGTTTACATGATATGTACATTTTAACAGTCTTTACAGTAAGCTTGGTAAACAAACATCCATTCACAATCACATATTTCAATATATCCAAGCATATACAGTCAGTACAGTATTTTCACAATACCGTGTGTCACATTAGAAATGTGTATGCACATAGATAAACATACATTTGCATAATACGATAAGCTAGTGTGTTAGGTAGTATTCAACAATGAGTGAACTTCCAGTTCTTCTTATTCTTTTTCCTGGAATGTGTCAGGCTTGGACACAAACAAATACAAAGAAAACATCTGGGAAAAAGACGTTCACCTGTATTACCCACAAGCTGCCAAGGTACTGCAATTTTCCATTTTGCATTATTATGATATGTTTTTTAAATATTAAAAAGAAACAGTAAATGAATTAACACAGGCACTTAATGATTGAAACTTTGCATACATATGGTGCACATGGTACAACAAGTGAAATACACCGGTCTGTTCTGAAAAATGGTGACCTTAAATTCACAGGACACTACTGCATCAATGAGGATTGATCACTTTCTACACCTGAGAAAGGCGGAGGGGAAAAATGCTCCTTCACCATCACTGCCTGGCGAGCCACACGGACTGTCCTCTCCACAGCTCATGTCCTCACTGCAAGAGAAGAAAAGACCATTAGTACTCATTGCTGCCCTTAAATTCCAAATCCATCCTCATATAAGCATGAACTACTGTCATGTAAAGTTGTGAAGTGTGAGGGGCCAAATCCACAATCAAACCAACTATCCGAACCTGTCCCTAGGTGTGCACTGTGAAAAACTGGTGAGACAGAGGAGAATAGAAAAACTGGATTAGTAACCTTTCACTCTCATCCCAGTTCCCCTCAGGAATAGTTGGTAGACCAGGTACACTGACATGATTGGCCTGAAGATTCTGTGCCGTTCTCCTGGACACGATCCAAACAAGCTTTTTGTTGTCTGGTTTGTTACATTCACTTGAGCGGTACTCTGTCATGCATTTGGCCACAAGTTCCTTCCAGTGGAAAAGCTCGGTGTTGCTAATCTATGAAGACAACAAACAAGAAATATATGAGACGCTGCAGGCAGAAACAGTCTTAAAATATGCCATTGTTAAGTGTTGTTTGACTCATCACGTATAGTATATGTGCATGCCACATTGTATAATACATGAAAAATGTAAGAAATGCTTTTTATCTTGGACAACTCATTGGCCAAAATAAGACACGTAAAGACATTGCCATAGTTTATAATTTGTGATGGCCATTTTTTTTTTGCTATATTCACATATTACAGTATTAATTAATCGAGAAAACAGTTGAAGCTGTGGCACCCTACAGCCCTGGCAGGCCTACTGCATTTATACCTTCAGATGTCTTTGGAATTGCTGGACAATCTTCAGCACGGTGATGGACTGGAGGGCTTCAAACTCTTGAGCAATGAGGGACAGCGCCAGCACTGATGGCTGTGAAGAAGGAAAACAACAGATTAGCAAGTCCTGAGACTCAAAGTGAATGCTACTATGTCGTGAAATTGTCGCCTGTAAACAATTCTTACTTTTGCTTTAGAGAAAACAAGTCGACATAAGCACGCTTTTAGCTGGGCTTCCAGTCTCCCAATGCTTGGGATCTCCTCCCTTAAAATATAGAGGGAATTCTAATGTGATCTGCTGGTACAAGCCTCATGCAACAGCATCTGTTTAACCAACTCCATGCAAACTGGAGCAGTGCATCAGAAATGCCAACAGGGCCAAGCCAAAGATGTTTAAAAACATTACGTTTACCTTCCCGCAGACAGAGATGTGAAGGCTGAGTAGTAGAGGTGCAGAAAGGTTAAGGCTGTCACTGCCTCGGGCTCCACGCTAAGCTTCTCTGAGATGATCTTCTCCATGCGGCAGAGGTCTGACACAGTGAACCTGCTTTGGCTGATTCTAATGAGCTCATGGGTGGGGGGGACATTGCTCTCTTCCTCAACCATTTTGGCTGCGATGTGAAGACAGCCCACTCCGATACAAGGCAAGTGTTTGGGCTGCACCTGACGCAGTAATGCAACAGTTATAAAAGTGCATCAACATCCATGATTCAAAGTTAGACCAGGTCATTGCTGTTATGCTTTCTTCCTATTCTTCCTATTAAACATAAATCAATGTTGCTTTGGAAAAGATATTACACTTGAATGATTTGTTAAATTCTTACCTTCATGATGGTGAGGAATCTGTCGAGCATATTGACCGCTTGAACAAAAGTTTGGGTGCTGTAGCCAAAGAAGCTGGTCAGGCCCCACAGTTCCTCCACTCTGGCGTCCCTGCATTTTGCCGACAATCCACTGGGATTCTAAAATTGAAATATTATGTTTAAAGCATCACTGATAAAAGTATACACTTTAGCAGACTCATGTGCCTGCACAGACAAGCAAAATGTAACTTAAAAGTAGGTCAGTGTGTTACTTCTGTGGAAGCCATCTCCATCAGCTTCAGTCCGGCCTCTTTGGGAAGAAAACTGTACTCTTTCGCACAACATAACTTCAACTCTTTCAAGAGCAAGCTGTCAATGACTTGAAGATCCCGCATCCTGGAAAACAAAAATATGTCAACAACTCTACATTGTAATCCATGAGAACAAGGCTGGAGAAGAGCTCGCCCCTAAACCGCACGTACTAGGTGTCGGATGTCACTGGAAGACCGACCCCCCCCACGCCCCAAACTGCACAAATAACATGGCTGTTATAAAGTGATATAAGTGACTAAAGTACAAAATATATTCAATCAAAACAACACACACCCGCAGTCAAAGTTTGTGTTTGCATTAGTTTGGGCTACATGTAAACGTCTATTAAACAAGAGAAACTAGGTCACCCAGTCGATAAAAACAATGACACTATTACACATTTCGGACGACTTTCACCGTCAATTTAAATTTCAACGTAATTTTCCTAATAAAAATGGAGTTTGGTTAACATCCTTAACATTTATAAGTAAATGCTAAACACCTGAAGGGGTCGCAAACACAAAATATATCAATGCCAACTTGTTTGCTTGCTAGCACAAATTAACAAAAATATGTCAACTTACCTTGGCCAGAAGTCATCGACGTGCAGGATAATGACAGCGCTGTTGTTTAATTAACCTCTGTTCTTCATGTTTCAGTTCTGACTACGGTGATGCACGGAAAATGTTAAAAAGATCCCTAAGCCCTCCTGGAAAGAGAGTCCGCCCTACAAACAACCGCTGACCTACTTGTACACTACAATGACCAACATGCACCGCTTGAACCGTCTTATCTTACGTGCATGCGTCACAATAAACCGCGGTAAAGAAGCGGATGTTGACGGGTTGTTTTAAAGTGTTGGTGCTAACGGTACTTTTTTAAAATCAATTTAATGTCATATCATTGAACCGAGTATATTTTACTCTTACGTCGAACATAGCCAGTCTGATCATGTTAATATTACCGCCAAGATGCGCTGAATTACTGTCGGTGTTAAGAATAACCAGGAATTGGAAAATGATGCTGTTTCCATGGAGATGAAATTATACGATGAACAACAACTTGCTAGCTAACGTTAGCTGCTGACAATTTAGATAGCTGTTTGTTTACATAGCATACCTTATAAATACAAATAGATGATATTGTTATGAATGTGAAGAGAGATGCCATCGGGGTTTCAGTCCTCAAAGCACCAGAGTTTGGGGCTTTCCAGGAATAATGGTGCTCGTGTTTTACATTTTGAACCTCCACCGGACCATACAAAATTAACACAAGCAGCAGCAGAGGCTGCTGGTAAGTGAAATTTACAAGTGAAAGTTTGGGGAAACCCTCTGTTTACCCGTTAGCCACTTTGCTCAGCGGTCTTCTTGTTGAAATGCTCTGTCTACAAGTCATCTGTTTAACTTTATAGAAAACCATGACATCGCTCATCGGCTGAGATTCAACACTCTGACTCTGGATGAACTGAGGTAACAGATAGATTAATAATAGATTATAGTAATAGATTATAATATTAAGAAATGTTTAACAATTTGAGACAAATGTTAATCTTGTATACGCAGTGGAAAAGTAACACATAGTTAGTTGCTAATGGAGCACTGTTTCACTGCCTATACCAATTCATAATATAAGTGTAATGTTACCCAGCAGGACAATAACAAAGTGGTAATAATAAATGTTCTTGTATAACCTTTTATTTCTTGACAGTGAGGAGCTTGATAGGTGCACCAAGGAAACCCAGCAACTTCAAGAAGAAGTAGAAAATGCAACAAAAGAAGCCTTGGAGAGGTTTGGATGCACTAATGTCTGTGAGTACAAACATAACTACCCAACATTTTATTAACGTAACTTCAGACAGAGAGACAAAAATGTGTTTAGTAAAGGCTTGTTTGTTTCATGTCTTACCCACTTTTTGATATACTAGCTGAAAACACCACAAGTGATAAAGCTGAATGTTCATCTTAATTATTTATGTCATTTGATTAAAGAAACGGTTGA